TTCCTTCAATTGGCTCCTTCCAATAAAGGAACAAGGTATATTCCTCTTTTTGCTTAGGTTTTCCTTAATCTCTCAGTAATGTTTGTAGTTTTTAGGGTAGATGGCTTGCTTTTTGGTATGAATTACCAAATTACTCCCTACAAATGTAAGAATTTATCCTAAAATGTAAGAGTGCTTACTCTCCAGAATTTTGACAAATAACCTTTTTAAAAAGCCAATATAATAGACAAGTGATGGTATATCATTGCTGTTTTAATTTGCATGTGATTGATTACTTAGTGGTTGGACTTTTCTCTTGTTTATTGGTTGTTTGCATTTTTTGCCAAATTCCTGTGCATATTCTTTATCCAATTTTCCAGTAGATTTTCCATCTCCATTCTTTGAAAGATCTTTTTATATGTAATAATATTACCCTTTGTCTGATAAATGCTACAAATATTCCCAGTTGTTATTTGTTTTTAGTTCTGCTGCCTTAATTTCTAGATGAACAATACAAATGTTATATTTTATAGTTTATCCACATTCCTATCACTTCTAAAGGGCTTCCCCACACCAGTATTTCATTCTAGTTCTGCTCTTATTAATTTTTTTACACTTAACACTTTAATTTCTCTAGAAGATTTTTGGTGTAAGATATGAAGTCAGTATTTAGTATCTTTATTTCTGAAACCGTCAACTCTATTTATCTTAATACTAAAACTTCTACACATTTGAAATTAAAATTGAAATATTGAAAGTAAAGGAAACCTAATCTTGTGTGAAATTAGGTCAAGATTTGGTTAGATACTAAATTAACACATAAGGGAACTGAATGTGTTTAAGTGTTTTCTTTCACCACAGGGCACATGTTGTATGAAGAGCATGGTTTTTTAATACTTAAAAATATTATTAGCAAAAATGACACATTTTACTAGTCAAGTGTTTCTGTCCATATTTTGATAAGAATATGAAGTAGTAGATATAACAGTAAATTTCTTTAAAACACATAGAAACTGACACAAAACTTACTCTTATTTTACATCATAAATTATTTGTATCTGTTATCTTTTCCATGAACTATGTAGAAGAAGCCATCAGTTCCTGAAGACTGTTTTGAAGGGCGGAGAGGGAGCCCCGAAATTATGTGCTAGAAGATCTCAAATTACACCCTATCGTTAACTAAGTGATGCTGTCCTGGGAAAATAATCAGAAGATTTTTGACTGATGGCTTTAGACATGTTATATCCTATTAATCATGATTTGTTATTAAAATATATAAAGTATAATTTCTCACCACTACTTTTTGGTGAGAAGAAAAGCTAGTAGTTTTCCTTTGTAAATCAACTTATATCTTTGCAAAGGTAATACGTTTATATTTTTCAAAAATTAAAAAATATAGTGAAAAATCCCCCCCACCCCATCTACCATCTGCCCTACCATCCCCAAACATTGATTTTAGTTCCAGAAATATACCTACAAGATGAATTCCTAGAAGTAAAAGTTCTGGGTCAAAGGTTGTATGCATTTGATAGATATTGCCAAATTGCCATCCCATCGGCTGTGTATAAGAGTCTGGGTTTTCCACAGCCTTGTCAGCATAGTGTGTTTTTAGACTTGGATTTTGTTATCAGTACAATAGTTGAAAGTTTTAGATCTCTCATCGCGGCCAAAGCGTAACTTCTTTTTGTATGTTTAAAATCCATTTGTGGTTGTTTTTTTTTTTTTTTTTAACTGCCCTTAAATTTTGTCCTATTTTATTTTTGGTTGTTGGCCTTATTCATATTAATTTGCAGATGCTCTCTTATGGGTTAGGGAAATTAATACGTTATCTGAGATGTCTGTCATGAATATTTTCTTTCATAATTGTCATTTGTCCTTTTAACTTTGCTTTTAGTTTTCTTTACCATGCGTCATAAGTTTCCGATTTTTATATAGTCCAGTTTACTAATATTTTTGTTTTTTAATTAAAGCTGTTTAACCTGAGGATAAAATTACATTTTTTTTTATGTCGTTGACTACTCTGGACATGTATTGCTTCTTACATTGAGAAAAAAAGAAATCAATCCTGAATCTGGAAATTGTTTTTCTTTCATTCAGCAGATACTTATTGAAGACCTATCATGTGTAGGAACCTAGTTCATCCAGAAATTAAATGTAAATAACAAACTAAATAGTATAAAGTAAATGCTGTGATAGTGGGAAACACAAGGTCTGTGAGGCTGTATCTAATGTAGGTATCATAACTAAGCTGAAAACTACTTGTGCCCCACAATCTCATTATAAGTGGTCATTTAATTATTCCAGATGTTAGTTAAATCTCACCCATTGTACTGTTTTCTGTCGGGGGTTGTTCTGTCTCTTTAACCAGGAAGGGATGGGTTAGGAGGATGAGAAGGAAACCAACAAGCTTCGCTAAAAGTTATCCAGATTTCTGCACTTATTTATAAAGCCTAAATGAAACGTGAACTATTTGGTGATCAGATATAAAAATGAGTTTGCAACTCGATTTTAGAGATTTTAGGAATGTACGATGGCTATTATTTCCAGTAGCTTCAGAATCTAGAGGCTCTTAGATGCTGTACATTGAAGCAGTAAGATGCTTTTCACATTTACTTGTGAGTAGAAAATGATCCAATAAAAATAAACTGTTTAGTTCCCTCCTTATAAATGCTGAGAAAGATAAGTTGAGGGCATTATTAGATTATATATTATATGCATGGAATTACATTTGTGATATCAGCTATAACACTCACATACGCATATTGGATTGGCCAAAGATCCGTCTTACGGAAAAACCCAAACGAACTTTTTGGCCAACCCAATACATGTATAAATATAGTTCAGTGCTGTAGATGTCCTTATGGGTTAGAACTCATGAAATTCAAATAGGCCTTCGTCTAATAGTATGTTTACTTGGCTTTATAGCAGGATACAAGTGAGACAAAGCAGATACAGTATCATGATTCATTTTTCATGGGCAGATGTTCCATGCCACCCACACACATTGCTTCTTTTGACTCCTTATCCACACAGGGAAGAGCTGCCAGGGGTGAAAACCAGAGTTTGTGCAGGTCACTTTAAATAGAAGCCACAGCCTCTATTTCCCTTCTGTCTTTTACTCCATTTTAGTCATATAGGCCCAAGGTCCTAATATCAACTCGCAGCTTCTCCAATCCAGGCATAGTTCTATACAACAAGCAAGCCAGACCCAGCATTTCCCATTCATCTTGAACTTAGTAACTTAAAGTTAGTGTCCCAAGGAAACATTGTTGTGGGAAGCTAAGGTCAATCCCAGGCTGACCTGCATCAGCCCAGGCTAGATGTTAACCCTTTACTCATGCATTTGCATGCATTTTACAAAATATATACAGATGTACTCACAATATATTTCAAAATACATGTTGTCCACATATAATGAGAGCTTATGTAATGTTCTTTCCCCTATAAATTAATTGATTGGCTATTTTGTCCACTAATGTATCTCCTTTTCACCCTACAACTCTTGGGTCCAAATAAAGAATATAATGCTCACTAGTTAGCTCTTTTAGAAGTTTCTGAAACAGTTGGTCCAAAGTATGGGGCATTGTTTAGATGATGTGCTACTATATTAGTATGCTTATCTAGTTTAATTTTAAAATGTTTTCTATTATTACTCATAATATCATGATAATATATAATAGATGCATATTGTAACATTTATGTTCATATTACAATGTAATATTATATTTATATTATTAGTAGAGTATAATTAATAATATCGTAAAGAGTTGCCATTGCAAGTTCACACTCTTTATTCCTGCGCACCTGTTTTAGCCCTTGATAATCTGAAGAAAAAGGCTTTACTCTTGCTTATCTGTCTCTCTGCATACATTTGAGTTGGAGCAATAATCACTAACATTGAATGATTTTATTATCATTCACTATCATGCAGAATATTGCTGTAAACTATTTACATGGATTACTTTATTTAATCCTTACTATGACTCTATGAAGCAGGTACTATCATTGTCCTCATTCTATAAGAGAAGGCATTGGGAGTTAAAGAAAACTTGGCCAAAGTGTTAACAAAAGGGATAGAACCATTTTTTTTTTTTTTTTTTTTTTTGGCCGCAGGGCATGCAGGATCTTACTTCCCAGACCAGGGGTCGAACCCATGTCCCCTGCAGTGGAAGCACAGAGTCCTAACCACTGGACTGCCAGGGTATTCCAGAACCCCAATTTAAAACCAAGCAGCGTAACTCTAGAACTCACAATGTTGAACAGCATACCACACTGCTTCCCAAGTTATTTACGGTTTTCAACCAGGGATAAAATTATAGAAGGTTGTAAAATTGGGATAATAGTATCTGTATGATAGAGTTGTTGGGCAGATTAAAGAAGACAATAAATGTGAAACTTCCAAACACGGTTGCTTGGCACATAGTAAGCCCTTAATAAAAATCACTTATAATCATTCCATGATAGTTTACTCTAATTCAGATGTTCTTTTTACTTTTCATTCCAATCATCTGATTCTGTTTTACTTGGTTATACTAGAGCTCGCAAACTACAGGTCCCCAAAATGCTTACCTCACCAGTCTTCTTTGTACATAAAAGAATTTCCTTGTACAATTTTCCTTAACATAAAAGAAAGTTCGAAACAAGTATAAAGGCAGAGGGTCTGGCATATAATACACAAGACACCATTATGTTTAATGAATGAGTGGGTAAGTGAAGAATACACTTCGTTACTTTCATGAGTCGGAGTTGGGTGTGCATTTGTGTGGGTGTGTGTTTTGTATTTCAGTAAAAGGCTTATTGTCTTCAAAGCATAGAATTTTGTAAAGACTGTTAATCAATGATTTGTAATACATGAATGAAATCCTAATGTGTAACACATGTATGTAATCAATATCATGCTGTTAAAATACCAAATTACATAAATTTCTATAACATTTCATAACAAATAGCTTTTGAAAACAGTTCTTTTTCCTTTTTTTTTTTTAAATCACGAGACTCTTTTACATTGTTTTTCCCTATAGGTTTCTAGAGTTTTACCTGAGAAACAAGGAGAAATTGAGGCTCACATAAAAGACCTTGGACAGCTTGAAGAGCAGTTAAACCATCTGCTTCTGTGGCTGTCTCCTATTAGGAATCAGTTGGAAATTTACAACCAGCCAAATCAAACAGGACCATTTGACCTTAAGGTAAAGACTTTTTGCTCTAAATATTATTTTTCAAGCATGGCAATATCACTGAAATAAATTTCTCATTTGTTATCATCATCACCATCATCATTGTTAGAACGCTAATAATAATAATTATTATTACTTGAGTAGCATTTTTTGTTTTTTCTTCTGGCATTTACTAGCAATGATGTTTCATTAAAGTCATATCACCAGAATGTCTTCATTATACTTGTTACTACGATCCATTTTCCATCCCTACTTGATTTGTACTTACTATGCTTGTAGACTCCTTATCTAAAACTGAAGTCATTTTGGAGACTAAGTGCCTACAAAGTGAAGTATAGACTCCTTAGTAGACATTATGAAACCCTCTCAGACTGACTCCAGTTTACCTTGGTATCCTCTTATTCTGACGACAATCTCCTCTTGTATTCTAGATACAACAAATTTTATAGTATCTTTATGTGCATGTGGTTTCATGCCATGTCTGTGTTCTTGATCTTCTCTCTTCTTTAAATGACTTCTGTCTCATTTTTTGGCATGATGAATTTTCCTCCATCCCTTAAGACTGAATTCAATGTCACTGCTTCTTCAAAGCCTTCTTACATACCCTTAGTAGAGTGAAAAACCCTTTTAGGATTGCTTATAAACCCTGTATCCATCTCCTATAGTCTTAGTACATTGATTGACACTTAAATTTTAGAGACCTGAGTACCTCATCACACTGTTCTTTGAATGCAGAGGGCATCTTCTTACTATCTCCCTGTCCCACTCATTTCTGAGCACCCCCATCCCAGGGCTCAGTGTATGGTGGGTACTTGTTAGCTTTTTTAAATCAATGAATAAAGATGTTAATGAGGCACCCAGAATGGTAATGAGATGCTATAGGTAAGCTTAGGGCTCCAGACAAACATGCCAGTTGGACACCACCATCTCCTCCCCTTAGTGTCCCTGTACACATTGATTGTTCCTATCTTTTCTCCCTTCCCAGGAGCCCATTTCAAGGATTTGTCCCAATATAATTCCCTATTTTTTTGCATCTCCTATGGGCCAACAACATTAAGTGGCCAATCACATAAACCAATTCAATTGAAAGCACAGCCTATTAATTAATGTAATGATGGGTAACTTCAGACTAAATAAGTTAAATAATACCTTTGAGAAAAGTTTTTTCTTTTAATTCATTGACCCAAATTATTCAATTTATTTGCTTTCCAGGACTATAACAACCTAATGGTTTTATCACTATCTAGTTGGTATTTTGCTAGGAGATAAGGATAAAAACAAGTGTGAGGATCTTTTAGAGAAGAGTTAATGAACATTTAGGAAGGATGTACTTGAGTGAGGGAAGGAAAGAGATACAGAAAGGTTTGCCACACCTAAAATGACTTATACTTGCAAAGTGCACTGCACTACTGTTACCTTACTTCTTCTTGACATGTTTACATCTCCCATTCTGATAGCCACCCACACAGAGCTGATGATGAGTCACAAGTGGACATCATTTCACCAGTGCAAAACCCAGGCTACTCAACCAGTGGCATGGTCTTGGGTTCAGTTTGACAGTCAAATTCAAGTCACAGTAGGTTTTTAACCAGAGCAAATTTAGTTAACTTTAAGAAAGTATACAGGACAAGTGAAAACATAGCCAGTGCAGTGATGACAGAGTGGAGGTCTTGACACCAAGGTGCAGCTTCTGATGGACCCGTCACCCTGCATTTGAGTCATGTGTGGTTACAGGGACAAGACTGGTTGAGTGCGAAGCACATCATCATGCAGGGAAGCCATCAGTTCTGGTATCCTTTCAGTTTTTCCACCTAACTAGCACCTAGTGTCCTCAGAGGTATTTGACTAGCACCCCTTCTCCAGTGCAACTGCATCTCATCAATACTGATTTTTCATTACTCAATAAATAATCTCAACAAAGAAGGACAGTTACTTGGTCCAATGAACAATAACCTCAGCCAGATTCTCAATTATCTTGGATCGAGTATATTCTTAAATATCTCTTGATTTAGTGTGACAAGAGGAAAGGCCATAAACTCTTTATTCCCAACCAGAAATAGCTTTTTGGAACTCAGATATAAAAGCACTCAGATTTAAATACAGTCTTCAGTTAGAATGTGCTTCTTCACTAAAATAATGAAAAATATATTCAATGTGAGCTTTCTCTCTACATGGAATATATTTAAGAGAAAAGATAACAAAATCCTCTGATGATACAAATGGATGTTGTTGACTCAGCCAAAGTAACTTTAGTCCCAATGTGTGTACCCCAGAATAGTGCTCAAATATTAAAAACTTTCATTGAGCCTTTGTCCACGGCCCATAGGTTCCTGCCAAATGGGCCCCTGCAGTTTAGCATGAAAGCTGCTCTCAGCTGTGTTAATCACTTTCCTTTATTAAAGCTCCAAGACACCACTCTCACTGCTGTGTATAGTTTCAGGAGTCATGATATTTGCCCTCCTGCAGCTCAGTCTAAATCACTGAGGGGAGAGGCAGCTGCTTTTTCCCTGGCAGTAAAACTCCTTGGCTTCAGTCCTCTGTGCACATCCTGAGTTTTTCATCTCTGGAGTGTAGATTTCAAAAATATTCCTTTAGCCTTTTTCTTCTGCTTGTGGCTGTATCCAAGGCCAAAACAAAACAAAACAAAAAGCATAAAATCATATACATGATGGCTCAAAAAATTCTTCCTGTAATTCTCAGGCCCCTAACTTGTAATCAGGAAATAGTGACCTGTGTGAATAATTTACTAACCTACCTAGTTCTTTATCCTTCTTTGTCTAGCTTCTATCTATATTCACTGTCTAATGAATTATTTATTAAGATTGCACAGAGTTCTTCTGCTAAAAGATATGCGGTTTTAATCTGTACAGCCTTCTATAGCCCTCTGCTTAGAGATTAAACTTTTTTTTTCAGTTAAAGAAATATGGGAAAATGGACTTGGCTTAACTTCAAACTACTGGAAACCAAAAAGTTTGTATACAGCTTTGAGGACATGCCCATTTTTTAACACAGAGAGAGAAACACCTTTAAAAAAAATCCTAGGAATGAGTTAATGCAAAGAAAGTAGATGCACAAGCAGCCTCTATTTCCTAAATTTAAAGAAATTGCCCTTATCTGGCCATGGTGGCCATGGCTTCCTCTGAGAAAAAGGGCCTAAGGCCTTGCCATCCAGGTGATTTGTTTTCTCTAGTCACTCTGAGCACCTGTTAGAAAAATATGTAATATCCTCTGTGAGCCTCGGTTTTGCCTGCTTGGTACTTCATGCTTATTGATGAAATGCAGCTAGCTGTGTAATGAAACCCAAATAAAAAAAAGCCTTAAGGGCTCTGCTCTAATACATTGTTTATTCTGGAGTGAAAATTGACTGCACATCACTTGGTTTGTGCAATTTACTCCCAAAATATTCTTATTCAGGAAATCCTGCAAGTAGCAGTATTCATCTTGAAAATCACCTCACAGAACCCTTAGCAAACTGAGAAACATAATCAATGAGATAGTGATGTAGAGGGTGAAAATTAGGCATAATCACAGCCCTTTCCCATCAGTCAGCCCACTAGAAGGCATGCCTTTGAATTTTGATTTTCAAATGTACTCTCAACTTAGACACCAAATATGTTGATTTTAGATGAAAGAAATGATAATTGAATGCTAAGAACCAGGAACCAGTTAAATTTTCTATGAAGGGTCTTATGCTTTTAATCTTTAATGAAGGCTTTCAATAATGACCTGGAGATATACTACTTATCTGACATGAAACTGCCTAACTACTGCTTTCCAAAGTTTTTAAAATTTTATTTATTTATTTATTTTGGCCGTGCTGTGTGGCATGTGGGATCTTTGTTCCCTGACCAGGGATCAAACACTTGCCCCTTGCATTGGAAGTGCAGTCTTAACCACTGGACCGCCAGGGAAGGCCCCCAGACCTTTTATTTATATATGAGGTGGGGAAGGGGGCACATAATTTTATGTTGTCTTACTGACTATATTATGCTCATACTGATGACACGGAGGGTTTTTTCCTCCCCTCAAGAATGACTTTCCACCTGTGGTCCATTAAAAAGCATGACAGTGTTGTACTGACTCTTCCTTACCATGTAAGACACTTAATTGTCTATGATGTCAAATCCACACTGAAAAGTACCAAAGGACACAACTGTAGTGACTGAATGTTCAAGTATCTGAACACCAGAATCCTTCTCTGCATGTGTTCAGATTGCTGTGAGTGTTGTCAAAGAAAAATTGCATGGGACAACTTAGTACGCAAGTAAGACTTTATTCAAGACTATTGCAGTAGGGGAGAGAGATTGAACTCAACTCCATTGAAAGAAAAGGCAAGAAAGATTTTAAGCGTTGGGATGAGCTAGGGGAGAAGTACTAGAGGACATTAACAGGGAGGTTGGTTCTTGTGATTAGGCCATCTGTGTTTGCTAGCTGTCACTTATTGAAGGTAAACTACTGTCTTCCCACAGAGACTAGGACATAGGGTACTAGCCTTCTGGATGTTTACATTTCAAAAGGATGGCTCCCGGGTCCTTGAAAAAGCTATTCCTGGGTTGTAAAAGATTTACATCTCAAAAGGGCAGAGAAGGAATTTATAATAGAAAGTTTTCTAAAGTAAATGTGCTAAGAAAAGAGATGTCAGTCCTATAATCAGGAAGAAACCTATCTAAATTTTAATCAAGCTAAAGGGGAATGTTACAGCCATCTTTGTCAGTCCCTTTTTTGTTCAAGGGAAACTAGGTTTCTAATTGAACAACTTACTTAGGAAAGCTACTCCGTGTAGTTCATTTTAGAAGCTTTCTGGTGTTGAAAGACTAGTTGAACTGACTCTGAGACCTGGGTGTAGAGGATATTTGCTGGATGGTGTGAGCAATCAGGTATTTAATGAGGGAGCTTTTTATGCAGGTAAGAAGAAGAAAGATTAATTGTTAGAGCAGACTCTAAACCCAGTTTCTGAGGCCAGAGGGTAGCCACTTAAGAAAATTCCTACATGTTCTGCTGGAAGCATTTTT